ATCCAACAGATAGGGTTTGGTATCCTAAGTGTGGTATCCAACAGATAAGGTTTGGTATCCTAAGTGTGGTATACTATATTATCCTAAATCCGGAGAGCAAGAGGGTATCCTAATATAGGTATCCGGGCCTTGCTGACCTAAGAATTGTTGGCCCGAACCAACAGATAGGCAGATAGGGTTTGGCCCGAACCTTGCGCTCCCCTGACCTTCGGTGACCATTGAACGACCCCGAGTTGATTGAGTCGACCGGTGAAGCTTATTTTAGGGCTGGCCCAAACCTTTAGAAGGTAGGGACAGACCCCCCAAATCTAGCCACCCCACTAGAACTGGATGACTGGATGACTGCAGGTGCTTTAACTACCTTCTGAGGATGTGGGACAGGAACCCTGCCATAGGGATTATAAGAAAGTGTTACCTCCGCTCTTCTTTTTCCCCTGACAAGACCATCCGAAAGGTCCAGTCAGAGAGGGTAGGTGCAGAAGACTTGTGACAGCGCTAGCAGTTCCAAGGAGTTCGGTGCTTATCAATGGAGGAATGACCGGGGTGCCCCTGTCACATCCGCTCCAGAGGGTTGCGTTTGGGTAGATCGTAGATAGACGTACCCAACTCCCCATTGCACCTAGACGCCACAGGAACATCACAGAGGATCCGGAGAATTCCTGCGTTGTGTTGCGGTGTTGTTCTTCCGTTTTTTAAGGACAAAGAGAGATGCTGCAGAAGCTTTTGGCCAAGAACTTCAAAGCCTGGGTGCCGCTCAGTTGAGAACAATCCAGCCTTTTTTTTGCGTTTTCGGAGGGTTGAGCCAAAAACAGCTGTGAGCTCACCCAGCTCACCGACCGACCTTCTAAACTCTCAAACGATTATCCCCTAAACCCTCCTGGCCCACATCCGAAAAGGTTTGGTGCTTGGGGTGGGTGGATGCCAGGAGGGTCTAATCTAACTACCTTCAGATGTTGGCCAGAAGCCCCAAAAAGGGATCTATCAAGCGACCACACTCTGGTGGTTGGGGTGGGTTTGGAGGGTCTAACATGGTTTGTCCCTACCTTCTCAAGATGACAGCATTGGAAGCTTAACACGGGACCTGATGGCATGGAGCAGTGGACGATGTTTTTCCTTCCCACCCCAGTGGCTTTCAGGTTGCATGTGGGTCTCTTCCTGTGTGTTGCTTCTCAGCGTAAAGATTGCACAAAAGCCAAAGTGTGAAGCATTCTGCACTGTGAAGGCCCTTGTTGTGGATGCAAATGATGCCATGTGTCCACGCAATGCTTCACGTGCATCTCCAATTTTGAGAGACCAGACGATGCTGCCATGCTGCCACGTGGATTGCTTAAATGTCCCAGGGATGTCCGATGGATTTCACCGATGGATTTGCTCTTCCCACCAGTGTGGAGTCGTATGAGGTGAAACAAAGACAGAACACTAGAACAGAAGAAGTATGTAGCTAAAAGAACTATACGTGCATGAAAACAATCAATGCCAATACACATGATCAACGTCTATAAAAGGATCACGGTGTTCTGTTTCTTTTTCAAATCCGAGTCGTATCCATGCATGCTAGTATGCATGCTATAAGAAATGATATATTTATGATCAAGAGTCTATGCATGCCAAAAACATGAAGGGGTCAAGGGTCCCAAACCCCTAGGTTCTTTGAATGACCAGTCAGGCTGTTTGGAGCGTTTGGGTATACAAATGATCAACGTTTATACATGCTATGTAAAAAGAAATGATGAAATGAAGGATCAGTGGAAAAAAAACACAAAACACAAAGACACAAAGAAAACCACCGCTTTTATGCATGGTTCTTTTTGATTTTTACAAATCCGAGTCGTCTTAGACGGTGGTTTCACTCGTCCTGGAGCGCAGTGGTTGGCAGGACTTAGATCTGGCCGAGCTCACCGCCGTGGCGCCTGTGGACGGCCGCTACAGGTGCCAAGTCGGTCGATAGAGAAGACCAGGGGGGTCTCCCAGGACCTCTCCTAGACCCAGGGGCTCTCCTAGACCCAGGTGGTCTCCTAGACCCAGGTGGTCTCCTAGACCCCGGAGGGTCTCCTAGTCTCCTTGACCCAGGAGGGTCTCCTAGTATCCTTGACCCAGGAGGGTCTCCTAGTCTCCCTGTTTTTGATCACCAACACGTCCGGGCCATCAGCTGACTAGTCCTCCCGCCCCAGACCCGGTGTGGCAGAGGCAGACTAGCAGGTCGGTCACAGGTTTCGCAGGTTTCGATGCCCAGAGAGTACATGAGACCACCAAAATTCACCCACCGAGTCAGCATGTCACCTGGCTGGAAGCCCCAGCCCACCACTAAGGGACCTCCAGCCAGGACACCCATTGGATGATCCTGGTAGATAACCTTTAGCTTTTAGATGCGCAGGTCTACATTGGTGACCTGGCAGTGAGAGTGCTGGTGTATGTCAATAGGGAGATGCCCTGGCTGAAATTGATCCACATTGATCTCAAAGAGGACTGGCCTCCCAACACATAGAGCCCACCAGCACCCGACTCAGAAGGTTTCCCCGATGTTAGGTGAGCTGTGAAGTCGGGTCCGGGAACATATTGATGGCATACCTTGGATCTCAACAAAAATGCCCAAGAAGTTCTACCGAACTTTCATCCATAAAAGCAGCCAGGTTCGGCAGACATAAGGTATATAGTCAATTCTGAGATCTTTGGGGATTGAACCGCTGTCACTTCCAAACCACACGGACACCACACCTGAAAAAACCATGGTTTTGACCTGCCAAGCGGTGCTTGGCGCCCAAAAACGCCAGGAAGAACACGAAAGGCTTGGCGGAGTATTTCTCAGAGTATGGGCTCATCCGATACCGCGTGCATGTGCTTTGGCAAGACGGTCACGGGCGGAGCAGAATCACGTGGCCGGCCACATGTACAGGCCAAGAAGTGATGGAGCTTTTCTGTCCAACTGGATGGTTGAAAGCCTCAGATCCGATGGAGAGTTTCTTTTCGGTTCTGGTAGTTTTTGTTGTTCAGTCATTTGAGGTCTTCTTTTCTGTGGCTCTTGTAGGCTGTAGGAACCTGTGAATACGACGCGTTCCGCTCGAGGGGTGCTGCACGTGTCCTTGTGTCAGCTTGGAACGCTCGAGAATTCGTGGTTTTCTGGGTGGCCCAACGGTCGAAGGTACCAGAACTATGAACAGTCCTGCCACTCGAGGAACGTGGAGGAAGAGAGATAGAAGATCGAATTCGTAGCGCTTGAAAGAACATACGGTACCAGCACCCTTACTGCCAGGTCACCAATTGAAACCTGGGCACGGGCCTTTCCCAACCCTCTTCCAGGAGACCTGGCAGGGAGGGTGCTGGTATATGTCTTTTGAGATGTTTGGGGAGGTATTTGGGGTATCCCAGACCATCCATGAGACTGGAAGATTTACCTACGACATCCTGCGACATGCCCTGACGCATCACGATGGTCATCACTCCGAGCGATCGGCTTCTGTCAGTCCCATGGATG